CGCACATTGTTAACATATTTATAATTGTTATCTTTATAAAAAAAAAAATAATAATTAATTGAAATTATAAAACTAAACTACAAAGAAATAAAAACTAAATACATTAATAATAAAAAAAAACTATAATAATTATTATAAATTAATTATAAATTGTTTAGTTATATAAAATAATGAATTAATTAAATTATAAAAACTAAACAATAGTTATAATTGGTAAAACAAATAAATATTGTATATGAAACAAAATTACATACTTACAGGCATAATACTATTTAAAAGTAATAATTAAAACTTATTTTTAATTATAAGTAAAGCTTATTAAAACCTAAAAAGAAATTAAATATAATTTAAATAAAACTTAATATTAAAAAAAATAAAAACGAATATTAATTATATATTAATAATAAACAATAAATTTGTAATATAAACACGAATTATAAGTTAAATATTATTATTAAATATTTATATATAAAACTACTTATAAAAACAACAATTACATTTAAAACCCTAAACTAAAAATAAAAACACTTTAAATATATTATAAAATAATTATTATTATATATATACACATTAAAATAATTTAAATTTAAAAAAAAATATATATATACATAGTTATATATAAATTAATTAACTTTAAGTAACAGCTTAATATATAAACAAACAAAAAAAAATTAGGTTAAAATTTATACTAAACAGAAAAGAAAAAAAAACAAATTAAAAGAAAAATTTAAATGATAACGACCTGGAAGAGAAAAAAATAACGTCAGCTAAATAAAAACAAATTAAAAACGTAAACGTTAAAAGCAAAACCAGAAAAACAAAAACAAATTGAATTATAAAGCAAATACTTAAAATATTAAAGAAAAACAAAAGTAATTAATTAATACTAAAAAAGTAATACTAAATGTTATTTAATATTAAGCCTAATTATACAAAATAATAATAATTTAAACAAACAAAAACACAACAACAAGAAAAAAACAAATAAATATATATACTATATATTCAGTGTTATAATACTAAATGTAAAATAATTTAATAACATTATTTCTACCAAAATTAAGTATTTGCTTTTGATTATTAGTTTTTAATAATAAAATACAACAAAAAAAAAATCAATAAAAAAACGCAAAAAACCAAACAAGAAGAAAAAAAAAACAGCAATAGAAAAAAGTGTTTTATTTTATGGCGAAAAAATTTGTCGTAAAGTATTTAAGGTTATGTATCTGCAATATCAATATCAAAAATGTTCTTGGTTCAATATTGCAAAAGGTAAATGTAACGAATAGTTCCGTTTTATAGTATTTCAGTATCCAACAAATTTAATTTAACAATTCTAGTCTCCACATTATAGAAAATTAAAAAAAAAGTAACAGAAAGTGTCTCTTTTCAGAAAATTTCAAAAAGTACCTCTTAAAAAACGAAAAAGTACCAAAACGTTCCCTTTTAAAGGTTCTCATTTACTCCGCTCTCTACATGCTAATTTAATGTTTCTATGTCCAATATTATAGAAAATGCAAAAAGTACCTTTTGAAGTACGAAAAAGTACCAAAAAGACCCCTTTTATAGGTTCTCATTTACTCCGTTTAAGAATGTTAAAATTTGCAACTCCACTCGGAGACGATAAGGTCTAAGCATGAAAACTTTAGTACTTTTTTCAGTACTTTTTGATATCGAAAATTAGCCCACTACTCCCACTACTTTTTTAATACAAAAAGTTTTGATGAAAAGTCCACATAGTAGTCTGTACTCTAGTCTACAGTCTAGTCCATAGTCAAGTCTATAACCTAGTCTATAGTCTATTCTACAGTCTAGTCTATACTCTAGTCTACAGTATAGTCTATAGTCTGGTCTATAATCCAGTCTAGTCTATAGTCTGGTCTAAAATCTAGTCTATAGAAGTATATATAGTAGTCAGTTGACCAGTCTCTGTACTCTAGCCTATAGACTAGTCCATAGTCTAGTCTATAGCCTATAGTCTAGTCTAAAGTCCAGTCTATGGTCTGCAGACTGGTCTATAATCTAGTCTATATGTGTATATATATTAGTCAATTGACCAGCCTGTACTCTAGTCTATAGTCTAGTCTACAGAACAGTCTATAGTCAAGTCCATAGCCTAGTCATTGGCATAATAAATAATTATGTCATAGCCTAGCCTATAGTCTAGTTTATATTCTAGTATATAGTCTACTATAGTCTGGTATGCAGTCTAGTCTGTAGTGTAAAGGAAAATCAGTTTAGTACTTTAAAACCTAAAAAGTTAGTACCATTTTAAAATTTCAATTTTCCAAGCCTGATAAGTCCGTTGTGATTCCCCTCGTAGAGTGTGAAAATCCAAAGATAGAGAAACAAAACACTAGAAGAACATAAATAAAGAGGAGAGAGGAATGACCTAGAAGTTTTACCGGGACGATTTCCTAAAAAATGAAATGTAAAAGAAACTTAGTCTTCCTATAAATCCCAGTCGAAGAAATGACTGGGGTTGAGACCCGCAATTTCGCTGAAATCATGGAACCTATCATCTAGCTTTTTTTAAATGAGATTATTCTGTATACTAGAACAGTGAGAAATCATATGCTCAATCGTCTCTAGTGCATGTTCGCATATCCTGTAGTAGTCCTTTATATTAGGATCCCACTTACTGACAAAGGCCGTAAGATCCCTGTTAGAATCCTATAAGCATCTTGGTAGAGTTCACATTAAGTGTTGGCCATAAGGCCTCTGATATTTTGCAATCCATTCTACTATTGATTTCTGTCCTATAATAGTGACATGTGTGGTTTCACACTCGAAAACTAATCTAATCCGACTCCAGAGCGGTATGATTTCGTATTAGTTCCGTCGATTTTTTTCTAAAAACAATAATTATATTTAAATTGTACTTTTAAAAATGAAAGTGGTTTCAATTCCAAAGAATTTTGGGAAAATGGTTGAGAAAAGTTTGGTAGTTCGTCTATGGACTTGCCTATTTTCTTGTCTATGGACTTGGCTATAGACTTGTCATAGTCTAAAGATTAGTATATAGGCAAGACTATGGACTAGTACTTAATGTCATGGTGATACTGCGGTATTTTCAGAACAGCACTGCTGGTTGTAGTTTGTGATATACATCTACTATCCCACAAGAGTTTTAAAAATAAAATAAATAAACAAATTAAAGACTGATTAAATATTTATTAATTAATATTTAAATTTGTAATTGTTTAAAAACTAATATTAAATCTAAAGTTAATTATTAAAATCTAAACATTTTAATTTATTCATCAATAAACATGATATTACTATTGTCCATGTCACCTAAGGTGTCGTAAATGTTACAACATATAACAATACAACACCTCTGGTGTATTGGACAAATATTCATATTTATAAAAATAATATTGAAGTTATTTACAGAAGACTTAAATAAAATAATAAATTAATACATATTAACGTGTTTACATAATATTTAAAGTGTCTTTAGTATGTATTTTGAAATACAGTTTACACCATTTCCGTTTTAATTCATTAAGCTGAATGCAAATTTCACTTTTAAAAAATTAGTTTTTATTTAAATTAATAATAAAGGACTTAATAAATGCAATTCCATAAGTAACATTTATCATTATGAATGGATATTTGTAAAGTTCTTAAGCCTTTTTTCAGTTAAATACCATTAAAAACTATTCCCTTCGGAATAAAGAATGGTAATTTGTCCAAAACATTTTACAATTTTAGATGTTTTAAAACTCAAATAGAAATAGTGATTTTGTAAAAATTAAAACAAAAAATTATTTTACATATCAAAATGCTGAACTGCTGTATTAGATGTTCAAACTGTCTAGAGATCGTGTGAAAGATATAATATATACAAAGAAAATTAAACGCATTTATGAAAGTATCACCTCCTGCTTAATTTCATCATCATCGCCCATTGACTCTGTCTCGGCGGCCTCAGCTTCGGCTACACGTTTTTGCAAATGACGCCACAAAGTACTTTTGGAAATTTGAAACAAATTGGCGGCATGATTTTGTGACATGCCCTCATGAACGCAGGCATGCACAGCTTTTGCTAGTTTTAGCTTAAGATCATCTTTGGACATGCTATCACGTTTCTTACAGGTTACAAAATCTGGTAATTGCCCTGTTTGTGAAAGACGCACTTTATGACGATGCAAAGTGGACATGGGTATATCGAGATCTTGTGATATACTCTTAAGTGATTCACCCGACTTTAAACGTTCATAAGCCTTGGCTATGATGGGATTTTCCCTGGCAGTCTTCATATATTGTGGATGCTTGCGTACTCGTCGCCAGAGTACAGTTTTTGAAATGTCATAGCGTATGGCAGCTTTTTGCAGGGAGAGACCCTCATTAATGACCGCCTTGCTGGCTAGTTCTATAACATCTATCTTGTCCGGATCTAGTTTGATTGATTTGTTTTGCTGTTCTACTCCCGTGCTGCGCACCCGACGCCATAGTTCAGCCTTCGAAACATTAAATTTATCTGCAGCCTTTGGCAAGGACATGCCTTCATTAATCATGGCCTGATAGGCCAACTCGGTGGCCGAAGGACCTGAATTGTTTAGGGAAAAATCAGTTGACTCCTCATGACTAGTATTACTTGTAGACATCATGCTGGCATCTTTGAGCAGGGCAAAACTTTCATTCGATGTTTGTAGTATGGAGATGGGATCATCGGGCGGAGTATCCTCCGAAAGTTGTTCTATTTTCGTTATAATCTGTTGTGTTGCTGGTTGATGCTTTAGCTTAAGTGATTTCATTTTTGGCTTTACTTGTATTATGGCGGTGGTAGTTGTCGCTGTACTGGAAATGGGTATTGTGTTGGTCTGATTATGATGTTGCTGTGGAGTCGGCTGTTGTACAACGGTAACATGATGTTCCTGTGCTGTTTCACCAATTTGTATTAAAGGTTCATCACCGCTACTGTATTCTTCTATAATATGAGACTCACAGTTTTCATCTTCGGTAACTTCCATATTAGAAGATTCTGCCGGCGA